AGGGAAAAAGGTACTGAGGGAGGCAGAGAGTGAGGTGGAGGGAGGGAGGGAGGTGGGGAGAGATGTGAGGGAAGAAGGGATTGTTGTTGTGTTACTGGTACTGTACTGGGGTGTGGCGTGGCGTGTTGTGGTGGTGAGTGTGGTGTTGTGTGGTGGTAGCATGGCGTGGCGTGGTGGTGGTGTGGCGTGGTGTGGTGGTGGTGTGGCGTTGTGTGGTGTAGTGTGGCGTGGTGTGGTGGTAGTGTGGCGTGGTGTGGTGGTGTGGCGTGGTGTGGTGGTGTGGCGTTGTGTGGTGGCGTGGTGGTGTGGTGGTGGTGTGGCTGGTGTGGTGGGTGGCGTGTTGTGGTGGTGGTGTGGCGTTGTGTGGTGGTGGTGGCGTGGTGTGGTGGTAGTGTGGCGTGTGGTGTGGTGGTAGTGTGGCGTGGTGTGGTGGTAGTGTGGCGTTTGTGTGATGGTGGTGTGGCGTTTGTGTGGTGGTAGCGTGGTGTGGGTGGCGTTGTGGCGTGGTGTGGGGTGGTGTGGCGTTGTGTGGTGGTAACGTGGTATGGTAGTGGTGGCGTGGCGGCGTGGTGGTAGTGTGGTGTGTGTTGGTGACGTGGTGTGGTAGTAGTGTGGCGTGGCGTGGCGTGGCGTGGCGTGGCGTGGCGTGGCGGTAGTGTGGCGTGAATTAAAAGCTCTGCTTCGAAAAATGACTAGTTTATTGTGCATCCTATCTTCATCCTGAACAGCATTTAAATAATCCAAATCATAGTGATCAGCCATACGTCTGTTTGTACTGTCTACTTCAAACACTTTCTTATGTTGTTTACAGTTTTAAAATGTCTGTATGAGTGTCGTGGATTTTGAACTGTATATAAGATATCAACACCACAACCTGATCTTAATGTCCTTGCTTCAAAGACAAGTGTGTGTGTGTGTGTGTGTGTGTGTGTGTGTGTGTGTGTGTGTGTGTGTGTGTGTGTGTGTGTGTGTGTGTGTGTGTGTGGTGTGTGTGTGTGTGTGTAGTCATGGTGAGGTATCTGGGTTTCCTCACTCTGTCTCTACTTCCCTCATAACCCCTCCTTGACTCCTAGTACTTAATGGTGGAGGCTGACGTGGGTAGTCTTGACCTTTAATGTGGTGGAGGCTGACTGGGGTGGTCTGATCTGCTTTAATGGTGGAGGCTGACGGGTCCTTGACTCATAGTACTTAATGGTGGGGCTGAGGGAGGTGTGACTCCAGGTACTTAATGGTGGAGGCTGACAGGTTGGTCCTTGACTCCATGGTACTTAATGGTGGAGGCTGACGGGGTGGTCCTGACTCCATAGTGCTTAATGGTGGAGCTGACGGTGTGTGGTTGGTGGGGGGGGTGGTCCTTGACCCATGTACTTAATGGTGGAGGCCGACGGGTGGTCCTTGACTCATATGCTTAATGGTGGAGGCTGACGGGTGGTGCGCCCGGCTCTCATAGTACTTAATGGTGGAGGCTGACGTGGGTGGTCCTTGACTCCATAGTACTTAATGGTGGAGGCTGACGGGTGGTCCTTGACTCCATAGTACTTAATGGTGGAGGCTGACGGGGTGGTCCTTGACTCCATAGACAATGGTGGAGTGGGTGGTCCTTGACCCATAATTTAATGGGGAGGCTGACGTGGGGTCTTGACCATAGTTTAATGGTGATGACGGGGTGGTCTGACTCATAGTGCTTAATGGTGAGGCTGACGTGGGTGGTCCTTGGCTCACTTAATGGTGGAGGTGACGTGGGTGGTCCTTGACTCCATAGTACTTAATGGTGGAGGCTGACGGGGTGGTCTTGACTCCCATTTTACTTAATGGTGGGAGCGGACGTGGGTGGTTCCTTGACTCCATAGTACTTAATGGTGGAGGCTGACGGGGTGGTCCTTGACTCCATAGTACTTAATGGTGGAGGCTGAACTGGAGTGTTACCTTGAGGGATTTGTTGAATCTTTCAGTGGCGAGTTAATTAATTTTTCTCCCTATAGTTTTTAATTGAATTCTCTTTCTACTCCTTCCTCTCCTTCCTTCCTTCCTTCCTTCCTTCGTTTCCATTCTCCTACTCCTCTGTCTTCTCATCTTGTCCCTCTTTCTCCTTATTTTCCTTCACTTCTCCCTCCTCCTCTTATCCTCTCTCTCTTCTTCTGCCTCCTCATTTTCTTCCTCCTCCTCCATCTGTTCCTCGTTACCCATCCCTCCTCCCCACTCCCCCTCCCTTCCCCTCCCCCCTCCGGCCAGAACGGTATAGGCGGCTTCCACAGAGATTGGAACCCCCCGCTAATGTCATTATAAAACAGAGAAATTGCATTTTTAACTTTTCTTCATGCTTCAAAAATGAAATTATAATTCCTAATTTCCTTATAAATCTGTACCACTTCTTCTACCACAGACAGACTTCACAAGGATTTTTTTGTTGATTCGTTTCTCTCCTATGTATTTTTGTTATATATATATAAAGGAAAATTAAATTCTTCGTTTATTTTTAAAAGTTTTTTTTTTTTTAGAATATTTTGTCTTTTATTGATTTAAGAGAAAAGTTTATATATTTGTTCTTGTTAAATTATTCAGAGTTTTTATGTTTTTAGTTAATTAAATGTTGTTGTTTATGTTTCTTTGTCGTGTTGGTTTATTTGTTAGTGAAGGTGATGTGTGTGTGTGTGTGTGTGTGTGTGTGTGTGTGTGTGTGTGTGTGTGTGTGTGTGTGTGTGTGTGTGTGTGTGTGTGTGTGTGTGTGTGTGTGTGTGTGTGTGTGTGTGTGTGTGTGTGTGTGTGTGTGTGTGTGTGTGTGTGTGTGTTTATTAGTTTTATGTTTGATTTATATTGTTTTTGTTTGTTATATTCAATATTTTGTTACTTTATGTATGTATGTAAGTATTTTTTTTGCAGTTACATACATTTATAAGCATGTGTGTATGACTGTGTGTATGTAAACTTTGTCTTCCTGTGTGCATCTGTTTACATGTGATCGTGTGTGTACGTGTGTGTACGTGTACTGTGTCTAGTGTGCATCTGTTTACTTGTTTACAGTGTCTATAGACTTGAGACAGTGTGTACAGCAAACAGGTTAACAAGACATTATACCATATACACCTGTCAGTAGGAGAGACGCTCTGTAGTAAATTAAAGAACCACTAATGATTATAAAGTTAAATTGCTTATTACTGGCACTTGAAGTAGGTGGTGTGGAGGTGGTGTGGAGGTGGTGCTTGGGGGTGCGGAGGTGGTGCTTGGAGGTGGTGCTTGGGGTGGTGCTTGGGGGTGGTGCTTCAGGGGTGGTGTAGGTGCTTGAGTGGTGCTGGAGGTGGTGCTTGGGGTGGTGTGGTGTGGAGGTGGTGTGGAGGGGGTGGTGTGGGGGTGGTGCTTGGGTGGTGTGAGTTGTCTCTCTTGTGTTAGATGAATTGTCTTCTTGTCTCTTCCTTCCTCCCTCTTCCTTCCTTCCCTCTTCTTTCCTTCCCTCTTCCTTCCTTCCTTCCTTGCCTTATTAGTTCTCCTTGATGCGTTAATTACGTTTGATTACGTTATTAATGAAGGGTTGGCTGTACAAGTGTCTCGTCACCGTGTGTCATGGTACTGTATACGCGTGTCATCATCGTCATCATCGTCATCATCGTCATCATCATTATCATCGTCATCATCGTCATCATCATCATTATCATCGTCATCATTATCATCGTCATCATTATCATCATCATCATCATACATATGTTATCATTTGTTCTAACATGTTAATAATACACTTCTTAACTAACTGGTTGTTGCGGTATGAGTGAGGTCAAAGGTTATCTCAGTGGTGATGGTTGTTGTGGCAGCATTGACCATCAGGCCACCAACCTTTGCCACTGTCAACACTGACCCTCGCTGACACAGCCCATACAAGGTCAAATTGGGTCACATATGTAAATGAGTGTACAAAAACCAGGAATTCTGCTGATCTTGACCGATTGTAATTGAATTGCACAAAGAAACGAGGTGGAGGTGGGCGGAGGGATGGCAGAGTCGCTCTTATGGTGTAGTGGGCGTGAGTCAAATCTCCCCTGACCACCTCAAGGTCTAAATGAGATCCCCAGTTTTCACCTATCACGAGATAAACGATTTTAGTACAGCAAGATTTATGTAATACGGAGGGTGGGGGGTTGACCCTGTGTATGTGGCTGTTGGGCGGGTAGGGGCGGGTGTGTGGGCGGGTGAGGCGGGTGGGCGACATGCTCCACACTCTTATCCTGGATTGATTTACTTATGAGTCATTTTGTAAGTAATGATTCACGTGTCGGTCAGTTCTCTCGAGCCACAGTACAGTGTGGCTAGTAATGTGTTAAAGAGACACGGTGTGGCTGGCTGGTTGGTGGACTGGCTCGCTTGGTTGGGCTGGTGTGACACACAATCAGATGTATCTACAACACACACACACACCACACACACACACAAAGCTAGATAACGGGGAAATGTCTTGGTGTGTGTGTGTGTGTGTGTGTGTGTGTGTGTGTGTGTGTGTGTGTGTGTGTGAGGTGGGGGCATCACCAAGAATGTCGAGAGTGAGTCAAGGGGATGAGGTGGGTGAGGTGAGGAAGGGAAGTGGTTAAATAATAGAGAGAGGGGAGGGGGGGGGGGGGGGGACTATCAGCCAATATGTCTGTCTCACAACCAAAAAACCCGCCCATAAAGCCACTTATGACGCACTGGTTAGTGGGTGGGAGGAGGACCCATACTACCCATGATCACCTCTCACTGTCTCCGTGATGTAGGAAGATTATGGTGGGCCAGGTGCGTCGGTGACCGTGGGTGGGGTGGGGGTAGTGTGTTAACTGACATAGGTGTGACGGATGAGGTAGCCCTGACCCGAGGTGTTTGTGACCCGTCTACTGACCTCGCCACTCCCTCACGCCCAGGATGGACTTTTATTCCTGGGAAGGTATTGGTGAGGGTGAGTTCACCACCAACTGTAGGCGAAGGGCCACCGTGCCTGCCTGCCTCGAGGTCCCCAATTACGCACTACACTCGTCCTATTCCTAATGTCTCGTCGGATTGTCGTGTACGGGTTGTTCGGTCGTCGTGTACGTTCTGTCGGGTCGTCGTGTACGGGCCGTCGTGTACGGTCTCGTCAGGTTGTACGGGTTGTTCGGTCGTCGTACGTCTGTCGGGTCGTCGTGACGGGTCGTTCGGTCGTCGTGTCTCGTCGGGTCGTCGTGCACGTCTCTGTCAGGTCGTCGTGTACGGGTTGTTTGGTCGTCGCATTCTCTGTCGGGTCGTCGTGTACGGGTCGTTCGGTCGTCGTACGTCTCGTCGGGTCGTCGTGCATGTCTCGTCAGGTCGTCGTGTACGTATCGTCGGTCGTCGTGAAGTCTCGTCAGGTCGCTGTCGCGTGTCTGGTCGTCGCACGTCTTGTCGGTCGTCGTGTACGGGTTTGTCTGGTCGTCTGCATTACGTCTGGTTAGGTCGTCGTGTACGGCCGTTCGTCGTCGTACGGGTCGTTCGGTCGTCGTGTACGGGTCGTCGGGTCGTCGGGTCCTGAAAGGACTGTCGTATAGACTCTTTGTTCACGTCTTAATTGAAGTTTTTACCGTCACTTGTTCTCGTGTGTATATCCCAGAACCACGTACACATGTACACACCCAGCATACACCAACCAAGACACTAGTCGATATGCAGATACGTGTGAGTACAGTTTTACACATCCAGCCCATACGTGCACGAACTGATCGCTATAAGAACAGCCCAGTAACTATTGTAAATTATCAATAACTTGTAATAATCAGTGTATTCACTCCCAGTAAACACTGCCTTTGCACTGTCACTATGTTGAAATGAACTGTGTTTGATTCCCATCTAGTTAAGTCTTTATTTGTGTCATTTATGTTATATTATTGTATCTGTAACCCATCCCAAGTATAACTGTATATTTTCAGCCTCTGGCTGTCAAGCCTTTAATAACTGAATATAAATTATTATTATTACACACACACACACACACACACACACACAGACACACACACACATACACACCATACTTGTGAAAATAACTGGCACTAATCACCATAACTTTATTTGTTTTCATTCTTCCTTGTTGTGCCGTTTTTGTCTTCATCTTCCTAGGTTCCTTGTCGTCCCGCTTTCCTTGTCTTCCCTGTTTGCCTTTATTCATCTTCCTGCTCCACATCTTCTGCGTTCCTTGTCGTCATCTTCCCGCGTTCCTTGTTTTCTCGCGTTTTTGTCGTTCTCTCACCTTCTGATGTCTCATGTCGTTTTATCGTCACCTCCTGCCTCACCTACCCCCTGCCCCTCCTCACCCTCGTCTACCCCTAGCCCTCCCCTGTCTACCCCAGCCCCCTCCTCGCGTACAGGGTCTTTATCATTTATCAACTGATATTAACTTACCCAGCAGTACCTCTTCATACTATGAGCACCACTCAAATATTAAATTACAGGTGGTCCCAAAATTAAACCTAAGATTCGTCACAGACAAAGACACCTCTTCACCAGAACCACAGCCGAGATACAGAGACCTGAGAATAAAACCCATCAACCAGCATGTACACCTGGCCAGCAGAGTCTAGCAAAAGATAGAACGATCAGAGCAAGAACTCCTTCAAACTGTCAGATAACGACAACAACCTATATGGCCGGTAAAAGTTACGGCAATCTGGCATTACCACCCCGATCTACACGAGCAAAGACAACCTCCCTAGACCAGCATCCAGAACGGTGGAATATAGATAAGGCCTAAAGCTATATGGTGGTAGGCTGTCTAGTGCCCGTACCATAACTGACCATAACCTTGACACACCATTAGCTTATCAGCCCGCCCTCTCTTACCTCCTCCTAAATTTCTTCATCCCTGAACTATAACTTCCTTCCCACCTCCTTCCTTCCACCTCCTTCCAACTCCTTCTTCCACCTCCTTCCACCTCCTTTCACAAAAAAAGGTCGATGAAGATTCCTAACCTAACACTAAACAGGTTGATGTCGGTATCGGGTAGAGTCTCAGCGCTATTTGGACGCCATTATGTCTTTACTGTTGAGTTCACTGAGAAGCTAAATGCATTGACACGTCTTCAGTGGGGAAATATTGATTACTGAACCGACGAACACCCTGGTTGTGGGTGTGTGTGTGTGTTGTGAGTGTGAGTGGTGGGTGTGTGTAGTGGAGGGTTGGTGTAGTGGTGGGCAGTGTGGGTTGTGGTTGGGAGGTGTGGTTGGTGGTGGTGGGTGGGCGGTGTGTGGTTGGTGGGTAGTGGTGGTGGGCGGTAGGTATGCAGCATCCTCTGGTCGCCACAATTACCACTGGCAACGCTGACGGTGTACGTTTTCAGCCAGGGAACAATGGTGCCATCTCTGGTGCACACTGAGACGTGGGCACTGGGCACTCCACCACCTAGTACTTGGAGATGACCACACACACACACACAGGGTCCTGGGATGTTTGGTGGTTGTAGTGTGAGGTTGTAGGTTGGTGGTGGCTGGTGAGGGTTGTAGGTTGGTGTGGTAGTGAGGGGTTGTAGGTTTGTGGTGGTTGTAGTGGTGAGGTTGTAGGTTGGGGTTGTGGTGGTGAGGGTTGTAGGTTGGTGGTGGTAGTGGAGGGTTGTGGTTGGTGGGTGGTTGTAGTGGTGAGGTTGTAGGTTGTGTACAGTGAGGTTGTAGGTTGGTGGTGGTAGTGGTGGTTGTAGGTTGGTGGTGGTTGTAGTGGTGAGGGTTGTGGGTTGGTGGTGGTTGTAGTGGTGAGGGTTGTAGGTTGGTGGGTGGTAGTGGTGAGGGTTGTGGTGGTTGTGTGGTGAGGGTTGGTTGGTAGTGGTGGGGTTGTAGGTTGGTGGTGGTTGTAGTGGTGAGGGTTGTAGGTTGGTGGTGGTTGTAGTGGTGAGGGTTGTAGGTTGGTGGTGTGTAGTGGTGAGGGTTGTGGGTTGGTGGTGGTTGTGAGTGGTTGAGGTTGTAAGTTGGGTGGGTAGTAGTGGTGATATTGAGGGGTTGTGGGTTGGTGGTGGTTGTAGTGGTGAGGGGTTGTGGGTTGGTGGTGGTAGTGGTGAGGGTTGTTGGGTTTGGTGGTGGTTGTAGTGGTGAGGTTGTGGGTTGGTGGTGGTTGTGAGGTGAGGGTTGTAGGTTGGTGGTGGTTGTAGTGGTGAGGGTTGTAGGTTGGTGGTGGTTGTGGTGAGGGTTGTAGGTTGGTGGTGGTTGTAGTGGTGAGGGTTGTGGGTTGGTGGTGGTAGTGGTGGGGTTGTGGGTTATTTGGTGGTAGTGGTGAGGTTGTGGGTTGGTGGTGGTTTTGTAGTGGTGAGGGTTGTGGGTTGGTGGTTGTAGTGGTGAGGTTGTAAGTTGGTGGTGGTGGTGGTGAGGGTTGTGGGTTGGTGATGGTTGTGGTGAGGGTTGCAGGTTGGTGGTGGTGGTGGTGGGGTTGTAGGTTGGTGGTGGTAGTGGTGAGGGTTGTGGGTTGAGGTGGTGGTTGTAGTGGTGAGGGTTGTAGGTTAGTGGTGGTAGTGGGTGGGGTTGTGGGTTGGTGGTGGTTGTAGTGGTGGGGTTGTGGGTTGGTGGTGTAGTGGTGAGGGTTGTGTGGGTTGGTGGTGGTTGTTTTTGGTGGGGTTTGTAGGTTGGTGGTGGTGGTGGTGAGGGTTGTAGGTTGGTGGTGGTTGTAGTGGTGAGGTTGTGGGTTGGTGGTGGTAGTGGTGAGGGGTTGTGGGTTGGTGGTGGTTGTAGTGGTGAGGTTGTAGGTTGGTGGTGGTGAGTGGTGAGGGTTGTGGTTGGTGGTGGTGGTTGTAGTGGTGAGGGTTGTAGGTTGGTGATGGTTGTGGTGAGGGTTGTGGGTTGGTGGTGGTGAGGGTTGTAGGTTGGTGGTGGTAGTAGTGGTGAGGTTGTGGGTTGGTGGTGGTTGTAGTGGTGAGGGTTGTAGGTTGGTGGTGGTGGTGGTGGGGTTGTAGTGGTGGGGTTGTGGGTTGGTGGTGGTAGTGGTGAGGGTTGTAGTGGTGAGGGTTGTAGGTTGGTGGTGGTAGTGGTGAAGGTTGTGGGTAGGTGGTGGTAGTGGTGAGGGGTTGTGGGTTGGTGGTGGTAGTGGTAGGGGTTGTAGGTTGGTGGTGGTGGTGGTGGTGAGGGTTGTGGGTTATTGGTGGTTGGTGGTGAGGGTTGTGGGTTGGTGGTTGTGTGGTGAGGGTTGGGTTGGTGGTGGTTGTAGTGGTGAGGTTGTGGTTGGTGGTGGTGGTAGTGGTGAGGGTTGGGGTTGGTGTTGGTGGTGGTGGGGGTTGTGGGTTGGTGGTGGTAGTGTGGTGAGGTTGTGGGTTGGTGGTGGTGGTGGTGAAGGTTGTGGTTGATTGGTTGTAGTGGTGAGGGGTTGTGGGTTGGTGGTGAGGTTGTGGGTTGGTGGTGGTGGTGAGGGTTTGGGTTGTGGTTGTGTGGTGAGGGTTGTAGGTTGGTGGTGAGGGGTTGTGGGTTGGTGGTGGTGGTGGTTGTGGTGGTGGGGTTGTGGGTTGGTGGTGTTGGTGGTGAGGGTTGTGGGTTGGTGGTGGTGGTGGTGAGGGTTGTGGGTTGGTGGTGAGGGTTGTAGGTTGGTGGTGGTGGTGAGGTTGTAGGTTGGTGGTGGTGGTGGTGGTGAGGGTTGTAGGTTGGTGGTTGTAGTGGTGAGGGTTGTTGGGTTGGTGGTGGTGGTGGTGGGGTTGTAGGTTGGTGGTTTGTGAGTGGTGAAGGTTGTGGGTTGGTCGTTGTGGTGGTGAGTGATGGGGTTGTGGTTGTGGTGGTAAGTGATAGGGTTGGTGGGGATGGTAGGGTTGTGGTGGGGATGGTGGGGTTGTGGTTGGTGGTGGTGAGTGATAGGGTTGTGGTGGGGATGGTGGGGTTGTGGTTGTGGTGGTGAGGTGATAGGGTTGTGGTGGGGATGGTGGGGTTGTGTAGTGGTGAGTGTATAGGGTTGTGGTTGTGGTGGTGTGGGGTGTAGGGTTGTGGTTGTAGTGGTGTGGGGTGATAGGGTTGTGGTTGTGTGTGGTGTGAGGGTGATAGGGTTGTGGTTGTGGTGGTGTGAGGGGTTGATAGGGTTGTGGTTGTGGTGGTGTGGGGTGATGGGTTGTGGTTGTAGTGGTGAGTGATAGGGGTTGTGGTTGTAGTGGTTGTGAGGGTGATAGGGTTGTGGTGGGGTCATACTGATGAAGTCTGATCAAAGGAGTTTTATAAACGTGTTATGTTGTTTTGTGTGGTTGTTCGGTAGACACAGGTTATGATTACAGTGAAACTGTTGGTTGAGTCTGGTAATAGTGGTTGTCGTCGGCAGGTGGTGGGTGTTGTGTGCGCCCTCCACCTCCTTATCGACAATAGCTCTGAACGTATTTAAGGAGCTGTACCTATATCCTTCGTGTTGTGGGTAATTAAACGCGTAATTAATAATCGCATTTTTGCAAACGCCAGTGACATGGGCATCAGGCTATACATATTCATAGCAATATTCAAGCCAGCCATTGTGACGCGGGCCAGACCGTGGCGGCGGCTGCGCCGGAATGGTGTTGGCGCGGCCTTGTTATTTCCTGTCCCGTGCTGGCCGCCGCGCCCCGGCCTCACTGGTGGGGCCAGGGCGGTGGGCAACTGACACGTTACGTCGCCAACAATGGCACGCATTCAAAATATGAGGAAGGCTTAACGCCCACATGTCTTGATTATTGGCGTGAGCAGTGCACCTCCTCTTGTATACCTAGTGCTCCAGGTAAGGGGCGTGGTGTGACGGTAGTGTGGGTGGGAAGGGGCGTGGCTTGTGCTGGACCCTGGCCGGATTATCATGTAATGCACCCAACAGAAAACATGAGTCAGTGCGCCACACTCAGCACCTGCAGCCCTGTCTATTGTCTTGCCTGAAGATTAGCCTGTAGTCGATAATTGTTGAAGAAAGGCCTTTCTCCTCCCTCCACCTCCTCCCTCCTTACCACCTCATCCCCTCACCACCTGACCCTCACCACACCTTAGCAACCCACTACACCTCTCAACCCTCACACCTCCCACCTCCACCTCCAACCACCCCTCACCACCGCTCACACCGCCCTCACACCACACCCCTACCACACCCCTCACACCCACACCTCTTACCCCACTCCCACACACCCCTCACGACCTCCTCACACCACTACTCACCCCTCCCACACCACCTCTCACCCCCCTCCCACCACCTCTCACCTCTCCCCACCCCCCCACCTCTCACCC